TGCACGGACGCTTGCCCAGGGGCGACGGCGAAGATGGGGCAGCGCGCTTGGTAGAGATCATGCTGGAGACGAGGGTCAAACGGAAATGAACGTTGAATCGAGGGGAATATCTGCGGATTTTCTATTTCGGTGCGCTTTGCAGCTGCACGTTGAGCGCCGGATTGTTGCGACAGCTGGTATGGCGCGTCCACCTTCTTGTATTCGGATTGACCTTGCTTTGATGAAAGCTGTGCTTTTCATCGCCATTTGACAGGACGCGGACGGCATGTCAGTCTGGAATTAGCCAACCGCAGTGGAGGACGAATTGCAAGAGTCGTACCTGGGGACAGCGATCCAGAAATTGCTGTTGTTGTTGAACTGAGTTATATTACATGCAATTATAAAGATATGGTGGACTTTCGAATGCGCTCGTGAGGCGTGGCCGGCGATCCAGAAATGACTGCTGGTCGTGCTGTTGGGTTGTTGCCTCCACCGGATGTATAAACACCCTTTGCTCTCTCGGAGGAGCTGCCTTTTCGATTCAGCACAAGCTAGGACACTCACTCCAAAGCTGATGCGCATGAAGGGCTCGTCATTCTGCATCTCTTTGCGCTCTTTGACAGTGAGGGGTCACCGTGGCTCGGCTCGGCTTCGAGCCTGCTCGAAATCCAGAGCCTGAGCCGACCCCGAAACGGCTCACCGCCTTGGGCGCCGGCTGCTGGAGTCAAGAAGGCAGAAATCTAGTCGACATCTTTTAGTCTAGCGGTATAGACACTGGTTTACCAACAGGTAGATCCGGGTTCAAGTCCCGGTGAGATCCCTACTTTCTGATTGCTGGAATCATACACTAATAAAGTAATTCAGATTAGGTGGGCCAATTTCGTATTACAGCTGTAGTGTTGAATATGATCTAAAGTCTATTTCCCGTGCATATGATATAAATAGTGTGTTGATGCTGCCATCATCACATTGACCCACCATGAGATACATCGCTTTCTTCTTTCTCATGGACGACGTTTTGGTCAGTCGACGTGTAGTGTGAATACTTATCGCTACCTCAACGACAATTGGTTTGCGACAAAGGCAACATATCGAACAGCCTTCAACAGTGCCTAAAGACAACATTTGGCAACGATAGCAACGTTGCTGAACGCATACTTTTGGTGGGTGGCCAAGTTGCTAAGTATTGCTTGACAGGCACCGGTACGATGATCAAGTCATTGGGATGCACATGTGAGAATTAGCGTTTATACTGACTTATACGAAGCCGCGGCTCAAACGGCTTAGCTGGCTCAGCTCGGCTTGAAGCCGGCTCAAAAAATGGACCCTGAGCCAGTCACTTTTCAGCCCGAGCTGCGGCTCAGCCGTTGGAGCCGAGCTGCGGTGACCCCTAGTCGTCGTGGCCCGTGGTGCTGGTCCGAGCACCACGACGTCCCTACGGGCCATCACTCTGCAAAAGACCATCACTCGCTCCTCGCTTCGCCGCAAGAGTATACCACGACCACTCGACACTGAATACCAGCGGCCAACAACGTTCCGTCGCGGTCCGATCAAACGCTTCTCGGTACGCAGATCACATTGTCCACCACAATCTCCGAACAAGCACTGTCGTCCAGGTCGCTGCATTTCCTCCCTACTCGGAATAATGAATCGAGCCACAGTGGCTTGGCCTTGTGCGCTCAAAGGCCTTTCTGATAAACGAATGGATTCGGGTCATCTCCAAGCTGTATGCCGCACGCTCCAACACCTCTACCAGACCTCTCGCACCTTCCATCGAGCACTCCTCGCCAGTCGAAAGCAGAATGACCAAGTTCAAGCGGGTGTCGCCGAGACGCGACACGCGGTGCTAACCGGATACGTAAGCGCATGGATCTTGTTTTTCGCAGTTTGGGCAATCAGCGCTCTTGGATGGCGTCCGTGGAAGATCCCTTCGGCGGTTATCGTTGTGCCCTTCCTCGCCCTTCCAGCCGCCGGTTGTGCGCCGGCCCAAGGGTCGGTTGCCTGTGCTTCATCGCCCGCCGTCGCCTCCCGCCGTACGCATCTGTGCAGCTGGCGCCGTCGCTTTAGGATCGTCGGCGGCGTGATCCCGTCGGCGCAGCCAGAATAAAATTCTGATGTCCCACGGCCGCCGGCTGGCCTATTCTTTTATAAATCTAATGATTTCATACAAACATGTAGATACAATAAAATAATGTATTGTATATGGTCCCACACCAGGTCGCTCATTTTCCTATATCCTCACCACGATGACCAAGTACCAGAGCACACGCGGTGGCGTCCGCGGCTTCTCGTTCGAGGAGGCAGTCCTTAGCGGCCTCGCGGCCGACCGCGGTCTCTTCGTGCCCGAGAGCATCCCGCAGCTGCCCGAAGGCGCGCTCGAGGCGTGGGCCAAGCTCTCGTACGAAGAGCTCGCCGTCGAGGTCATGAGCCTCTTCATCGACGACGCCGAGATCCCGCGCGCCGACTTGACGGAGCTCGTCGCGAAGGCGTACACGTGCTCGGAGACCAACTTCCGCGACCCGACGATCGCACCTATCGTGCAGGTGAAGGACCAGCTGTACATGCTCGAGCTCTTCCACGGCCCGACGTTCGCCTTCAAGGACGTTGCGCTCCAGTTTCTCGGCCACCTCTTTGAGTACTTTTTGGAGCGCAAGAACCGCAACGAGACGTCGGGCAAGACGCACCGCATCACGGTCGTGGGCGCCACGTCGGGCGACACGGGCAGTGCGGCCATCTACGGCCTCCGCAACAAGAAGAACGTCGAGGTCTTCATCATGTACCCGCACGGCCGCGTCTCGGCGATCCAGGAGCAGCAGATGGCGTGCATCCTCGACGAGAACATCCACAACCTCGCCGTCAAGGTGCGCTCTCCGCTCTTGTGCGAAGTTGAGAATTCTCATGCAGCGTGGTGCATAGGGTACCTTTGACGACTGCCAGGCGATCGTCAAGGACTGCTTTGCCGACGCCGAGTTCAAGGCCGCGTACTCGCTCGGCGCCGTCAACTCGATCAACTGGGCGCGCATTCTCGCGCAGATCGTCTACTACTTTTACGCGTACTTTCGCCTGTCGCCCGAGGCACAGAAGAAGGTGGCGTTCTCGGTGCCCACGGGCAACTTCGGCGACATCCTCGCCGGCTTTTACGCCATGGTAGAGCTCCTCATCCATATCAGCTCCTCCTCTGACGGCGAATGTGCATAGAAACTCGGGCTCCCGATGCAAAAGCTCATCGTCGCGACGAACGACAATGACATCCTCCACCGCTTCTTCTCGACCGGCGCGTACCACCGGTCGGGCGTCTCGCACACGATCTCGCCGTCCATGGACATTTGCGTCTCGAGCAACTTTGAGCGATATCTCTTTTCGCTCTGCGGCGACGACGCCGCGGTCCTCCACCAGTGGATGAGCACCTTCGAAGCGACGGGCAAGCTCACGGTCGAGGGCCCGCTCCTCGCCAAGGCCAAGCACGAAATGGCTTCGTACAGCGTCCTCGAGCCGGTACGCGACGTCTTAGTTCTTATTTGTCCTCATGCAAGGCTTTTAGGAGGTGCTGCAAACCATCCAGACGTACCACGATGCGCACAACTATGTGCTCGACCCGCACTCGGCGATCGGTGTCGCCGCCGGTGACGCCTACCTCCGCGACATGGCCGACCCGGACGTGACGGTGGTCGTGCTGGCGACCGCGCACTACGGCAAGTTTATGCCGACGGTGCAGTCGGCCTTTTCGACGCCCGTGGCGCTGCCGCAACACCCGATCCTCAAGGCGCTCGAGTCGCTCCCACAGAAGAGCCGCGTGACCGAGAACAGCGTCGCCGCGGTCCAGGCGCTCGTCCGCGAGACGGTGCCGCTGGCCAAGAAGCGCATGCCGTGCTGCGTCTTTGGCGCGGCGAGCTACCTCCTCCCCGAGTCGAACGCCCTCAAGGCGGCGCTGGTGATTGCGGTTGGTGCGGTCGCGGTCGTCGCACTGCAGCGCTCGACCAAGCACTAGAGTTGATAGATCATAGTAGTACAAATATACCTCCTTTGCTGTTATGGCGAACGACACGCAAGGGTTGCGTCGCTTGATGGACTAGTGTTATCGCTGGAAGGACGAGAAGAGGGACGTGACCGCCACCGGTGAGGCTTGCTGCCTTCCAGATGAGTCGTCCGGGTCATCAAGAGACGAGTGGCCTTCCATACCTGGCACCGGTATGTAGACGATCAGTGGTACTAGTAGACGATAGATAGTCCATGCTGAAGCCTTGCTTAAAACCCCCGTTTGTGCTGCCACGTCATACATCCGGATAAAATCATATATTTCCGGACATATCCTGGCAGGTCACCGCGGCGGACTCTGTCGCCATTTGTACCTAGCAATTCAGGAACGAGCGCATGCGCTGGGCGAGACGAAGCTCAAATCTCGGCGAAGTATGTGCATCGAAAGGATGTCGTCGCACCGGTGTATGGTCCTTGAAAGTGACTCCGCACCCCTCGAAAATATATTACATTTCTTGCATATACGCGCAACAAAGGACTCGTCGTAATCAAACGCGCCAAACCAAAGGCCGATGAGGTAGCCGTCGCTCGAGATGCCACCAGAAATCGTCGCGGCCTCTCGAGGCGAGGCGTTGGAGCACCTGACGATCTTGACGTCACGCAGATGCGCGCGAAGGTGAGCGCGAAGCGGCTGGACGACGTTGCGGCAAAAGTCGCGGTGGGTGTCGCGTTTGAACAAGAGCGCATGATAGGCGTAGCTGCGCCAGCCTTGCAAGATGTACGGGTGCAGGCCGTTGGCCTCGACTACAGCGCGCCACGCGTCGGAGGCAGGGCTCGAATCGCTCTCGTATTGCAGCTTGGCGCTCTCCTGAACCGTCCCGGCCGTCGCGCAGAAGGCACAGGTACCGTCCTCCGACAAGTTGTACCAGTGCCACCCGAAGCCGTCGGGCACGCCACGCCCCTCCGACAGCGCAAGGCTGTCGTCGTCGAAAATCTTGGCCAAATCGTCAAGGCCCCACGTCGTCGACGTCGGATCTACGCGGCAGCTCGGTGCAAACAGCAGCGGGGTCATGTAGCAGCAACTGAAGTCGTGCATGCCACTGGCTTCCCCACCGTACGTCGCTTCGATGGGCGCAGCGATCTCGGCGAGCTTCTGGAGCACTTTAAGCGCCCGGTAGAGAGCCTTGGGATTCGTGACGCTGGCCTTGGCGCGCGCGACGAGCTCGTCCTTGCTGAGGCTGGCTGCGTGGTCGACGTAGCCGTTGGGGACATGCTTGCCGCAGAGACGATCCAGAAGACTTTATCCTGCGTGGACGAGCACGTCAACGTCGTAGAGCGTCGGGCACAAGGCGAGGCAGTCGGTGCTATAGGCCCTGATGGCGGCGACCAGCGACGGGTTGGTCAAGACTTCGCTGGCAATGCAGAGACGTTTGGCCGGCGCCGATGGCGGCGAAGCAGCGCGCTTCAAGGAGGCCATTGAAGTGCTCCGAGGCAAACTGAAGAGTGAACGAGACAGGATTCTGTCTGGATATCAACGGCCGTTGGGATTGGTCGCACGCACCAGATTTCAATTAAGCGCACCATTTGATTGGGCCGCTTTCACGGTAGAATTCTGTTTGATTGGACAGCCCGTTGCATTTGAAAAAGAAGATCGCCGCGTCGGAGCGTTGAGTGGCCGTGTTGCGTGTCACGTCGCTCAAGGTCCTGGTACAGTAGTTAGCTGGGACGAGGGCCAATGTGTTGGATGTGGCAGTTTCGCACGAGCGCCGAGTCCAGCGACCCAAGGCACAAGTACAGTAGTAAGGTCGAGGGCTGTTGCGAGGATCCCTCCGTGCTGGGTTTCGCAAGTATGGCTCGTGGCAGATCATTGGCATGGACCCTTGTAACGTGGTAGTTTGGATCTTTCTCGGTCGCCGCGCTTGGGTGTTGTGTGCTGCCCTACAGAATAGGGGAAGCAACGCACTGTACCCGACACGAGCTCGTATTTCAATCGTACTACAAGCGATTCATTGCTTCGAAAGTTGGGCGTTGACGGGTTAAACCATCAAATGACAAAGAAAACGCTGGCGAGACACCTGCTAGAAACGACATGCTATCCACGTAGTCGCGGACGTTGGTGTTAAAGCAGGAGACGATCTTGACGACACGTGAGTTTGTCGTGAGCTGCGCGTGCGACGGCTGCAGAACATTGCTGCGCAAGGCGCGCTGGGTGGTGCGGTGGCGGACACGCGCGTCGTCTCTGCGCCACGACTCGGACGTATTCGGATGCAGAATGCAGACTGTGGGCGTCAACGAGCAAAACCTACGCGGCCGCCATCGCGACACCATTGTTCTCCACAAAATGGCAGCCGACGCGCAGAACGCGCAGCTACCGTCGATCGACAAGTTGTACCAGTGCCACCCGACGCCATGGGGAATGGAAAACCTGTCGCCAACAAGATCGGTGCGATGGTAGTTGAAGAGCTTGACCAAATCCGCGCGACCCTAGCTCATCGACGTCGGGTTCGGGCGGCAGCACGGTGCCATCAGCAGAGGACTGATATTGTAAGAGTCGAAATGACCTAGGGTATCATTTATTATATACCCTTGATATGACCAACCCAATCAGCAGGTGGTCGTTTGCACGTCCTCAGCGTGCGCGCAATGATCTCGGTGAGCTTTCGACGCACGACCAGCGCCCGATAGAGGGCCTTGTGGTCCATGACGCTCGCCTTGGCGCACGCGGCGAGCTCTTCGCGGTAGAGGTGGTTGTCGACGTAGCTGTTCGTGATGCGTCTGCTACAAAGGGGATGGAGGTAGCTCATTCCATTCTTTTCAAACACATCTTCGTGGTAGAGCGTCGGGCAAAAGGCGAGGTAGTTGGTGCTATGGTCCGCTGGCCAGCAACGGGTTGGTGAACACGGCACTGGCACTGCAGGAACGGCTGGTCGGCGGCGGCAGGGGTCAAGCAGAGCGCTTCGAGAAAACCATGGAGGTGCTCCGAGACGAAATGAAAAAGGAAGAAACCGTTGTGCTCGACAAGGACCGCAGGCAATGTGAGGCTCTAGACTATATTTCACTTACAACACATCGACGAAGCCAAAGAAGACGCCGACGAGGTACCCGTCGGGCGACACGCCACCGAGAAACGACGTGCTCGTGACCTGGTCGCAGTCGTCGCAGTAAGCGCACGTGACGAACTTGACGTCACTCAGATGCGCTGTGAGATGCGCCCGCAGCGGTTTGATGACGTCGCTGCAAAAGGCGCGGTGTGCGTCGCTGTTTTGTACCAGCGCCTTGTGAGCGTAAGCACGCCAGGACCGGAATGCATTGATGTGCAGACCGTGGGCGGCCATGAACGCGCGCCAATTGTCCGAGATCTCGTTGTGGTGCTCACCATACGAACACTCGTCTTGCAGCGAGCAGTCGATCTCGACAGTGCCAGCCGTCGCGCAGAAGGCGCAACCACCGTCCTCGGACAGACTGGTCCTCGGACGCGTTGTACCAGTGCCACCCCACGCCGTTGGGGACTCCAGAACCGTTGTCGCGAAACTCAATTTCGTCGTTGTTGAAAATCTGGACCAAATCGTCGCGGCCCCATGTGTTCGACGTCGGGTCCACGCGGCAGCTTGGCGCAAACAGCATCGGGCGTACATCGTAGATGTCGAACTGCGCGATACCGCCGGCCTGCCTGTAGTGGTGGTAGGAGATAGGCGACACGATCTCGATCAACTTGTGGCGCACTTCAAGAGCGCGATATAAAGCCTTGTGGTCCTTGACACTGGCCTTGGCGCGCGCGACGAGCTCGTCCTTGCCGAGGTTGGCTTCGTGGTCGACGTAGCCGCTGGTGACGTGCTTGCCGCCGAGACTGGCCATGAGATAATCCCCCTTCGACTCGCGAACGTCGTAAAGCGTTGGACATATGTCGAGGCAGCTGGGGCAAAAATCAAAGATGGCGACGGCAAGCGACGGGTTTGTAAGCACAGCACTGGCGCTGCCCGCACGGTTGGACGAGGAGAAAGGTACAGAGGGCTGTGGCGAGGACATGGGGATGCGGACGAGGCTAATTAAAAAGTGAATTGGACCATGCGAAGTCTGCAACTCGGTGTGGACGTGGGTGACGTTCCTCTCCTCGATACAAACGTTAAAAGAGAATGTGACTCCACCTACGATGAAAGACCATCATTGCGTTTCTGGATATCGCACAGAAGAGTTGGACCCTGGGACGACACGAGTGCCGTTCTTACATTTCTATACGCCTTCTCGACCAGGTAGCTTGCAGGCAGTCCATTTGATCCCTAACTCGGTATCGGCAAAGTGTTGAGATGACAGTTGGCGTAGCAAGGCCTCCCTCATACTGGTATGTCTCTTTCGCGTAGAAGAGACACGTGCGCTTGAGGCAGATGATCTTCAAGCCTTTAATTTAAATGATGGAGGCAGAGATAACGTGCCCTTGTCGCCCAGTGGTCAATGGTATCGGTATCTTCTACGCAAATGAGCGAACAAGGTAAATGCGCTGTAGATATCAACATGTCTTGTATCCATTGCTCAGCTCAGTTCGCATGTCATGATCGATAAATCCTGTCTGAAACACTGGATTGAAACAAGATACGGTGCGATCATGGATTTAACGCGTTTAATGAAAGGGCCAATGGCATCACAGCATTCCGTTTGGAAGATGGGCCGAGCAGCGATGATGGCGGTCGGCGCGGTCGTCCTCGCGGCCATCGCCGGCGTCTGGCACACAGGGCTCCTGGAGCCTTACTACCACGCACTCCTCCATGGCGATGCGCCCGATGCCACGTACTACGAGGTGGGCACTCGCGCCAGCGGAGGTCCCACGTCATGCGCTGTTGCCTCTAGGTGCTACGCGTCGCTCCGACAGCATCCGCCAGCGAGATCGCGGCGGCCTATCGGTCGCTGTCGCGCGAGTACCATCCCGACAAGACCAAGTCTCTCTCGCCTGCGATGCGCGACGCGCACACGCAAGCATTCTACCGCGTCGCCGGTACGCGTCCTCTTCTGTGATCCGGCTCATGCGGGCGATGGACTAGCGGCGTACGAAACATTGTCCCACGACGACCGCCGACGAGACTACAATCGCCAGCTACACCAAGTCTCCAAGCCGCCGTCCATGACGTGGCAGTCGCGCGTCCATCTCTGGTGGTGGCAGCTGTGGTATTCCATGTCGTTTGAAACCGGCGGCTACATCGTGTGTGGCCTCGGCCTCGTCACGATTCTCTGCGAGTACGTGCTGGCTCCCATCCAGCAGCGCGTCTTCCGCTACCGCTACCCACCGTCGAATCCGGATTTGCAGCAGCCTGGCTCGAGCCTATACGAAGCCCGCCTGCGGCTCCAAGCCAAGTACGATGCCGACGCGCAGCGCCATTTGCACCACCGACGGGCGACACGAGTGCGTTAAACGAGTAGTATTCTACTTGTACGCAATCACGTCTTGGTCGTTGTAAGGGT